ACAACCCCTGAAGAATTCAGATGATCAAAAGGGTGTGAAAAATCAATGGAAAATAATTTGGGATAATCACAGAGACCTTGAAAGGACGGACAAACTTTCAAAAACCTGCTTATATCTATGAGTCATACATTAAATTACACAGATTGGCCAATGTTAACACTGAGATAGTGTTATAAAGAAGTTATCATAGAAAGTGTGTAAAGATGTTCTGCAGTTTAATGTGTTTAGAAAACACTTACATTCAGCATTTTTAAATTGAACCACATTAATGGGGACATGGCCTAAAAAAAGATTCATACCTTTTCTCTCTACTTCACTCCTCCCCCTCCCCCCCACCCCCCACCCCTCAGCTGCAGTTGTCAATGTCCATTCCTCACTCCTTGTGTGCTGACATTGGCAAACGAGTTCAGGGGTCGTCTTTCACGGCAAGACACGTAAGGCATGATAGAGCCGGCCTTATGTGAGTCTACCCAGGCACCAGGACTGCAGGTTGCCAAGGTGGGGGAGAGAGGTAAAGCACATTAAGACCAAACAGCCGGGCACCCACACGCCTGGCAGAGAGTACAAGGCTGGCATGGGAGGATAAAGATGAACAGAGGGGGAGACTCCTGAGCTCACTCTGTCACCTGATTCAACTCCAAAAGACCTGCACGGATAAGACGCAAACAAGCTGTTTATACTGGACGTGACAGTTCTGTTATGACAGTACTGATCTGGAAAAGCAGTAGAGATACTGTACAGTCACATGATGCGCCAGACATGACAGTGAAGTTTCATATCTGTGACACACTGGAGTTTCTCTTGCTGCAGTTGTGAGGCTGAAGAACACCTCTGAGGCAAACACTGCCTTTCTGACATTATCTGTAAGGACAAGCACAATAATTCTCCTGCGGCAACCCTACAATAAGCAAAATCATCACTCAATAAAGATGAGTAAATATACTTTCAATGACCTCTTACATCTTGTCTAGTATCGACTGAGAACAGCGTAATTGTCAGTTCTGAATCACAAGAGTAAATGCACACTCTTAAAACCACAAGAACCAGATGGTCCGGTTTGGTTTGTGTGCTATATGCTAGGCTTATATGAACATGCTTCACTGTTGGACATGGGGTCTATTTTAAAATCATTGCATGGTAAAAAATGCAAAGTGGATTTTGACGCTTTCTGCACAATGCCAGACTACACTCTGCCTTCAGCAAGAAGGAATACAAAGGACTTTGTTGACTGCTTGCTTGTGAAAGACAACCACATGAACACACCGATCTGATCGAGAAGTCAGAAAAATATTCCTTTCTCGCTGCAGCCACCAACACTTTATTGTTATGCATAAATCTCCGGACGCTCTGGGAGTAGAAAAAAAATGGTTACCTAGTTGACAAGAATGTCCTGTGATGACTCACAGTCATATGCATTACAAAGCCTGTGAAATGCACCCTACTCTGAAGCCTGTGATGGAACAAAACAATACAGCCTATTGTCAGATCAACAGGCAGACTTCATTCAACGAGAACTCTCTGCTGTGCCTCCAAACAGCGGAGCGCAGCCAATCAGAGCTGCGGCGGGGAGGAGCCTGGGACATGTATACGAGGTCTGGGGTGACCTCCTTCAACAGCTGCCCTAATCCAGAACTAGAGACAGTTTCCCCTCTCCATTGGCACCGGATTAGACTGGATCTCACAAGGTCATTCAGCCACCTTCAGCAAGGCCAGTCTTTCCCATGCTGCTTTCCAACTAGCGATTTTACATGGACTCTGTGAATTCATTCTCTGTCGATGCCAAAATGGTCACCCCCACTGCAACAAACTGATTCTTCATGAGAAGTGAGATAAAAGTGCCTACCTCGCCACCGGTTCCAGCAGAACAATCTCGTGTTGGCAGTGCTGAATGTTACTTCAGATACCCTCTCACTGTAATCCGCCTACAAACTCACCGCAGAGAAACAGCGCTCTGTGATTTCTGTATGGAGAGTATTGTCTTGTCCTGCCATCCTCCCTTCTCCCACAATTGCTGCAGCTTTCAGCAGAAATGCTGGGAACTTCCGGCCCCCTTGCTGCTCTGCTGAACAGTCTCTGTCTGTCTGAGACACTACTCAGCAACAGGGTCAATAAATTCCCTTTTATAGGGGTAAGCCTGACCCAACAGAAGCCCCTGTCCTTCCTGAAGCCACCCCTTTGCTTAGCTGAGGAGCACATGGGGATTTTTTGGGTCAGATGAGACTCTGGACGAGAGTGAACATGTGCAGGAGAGGCTGAGGATGGGATCAGGGTGTTTACCACATACAGGCCGGCCTTTCTGTCCAGTACACCAGCTGTCAGAGCGGGAACAATGGGGTCACTTTTCCAAACAAGAGAAACGAACGAACCTATTTAGGATGTAATTGTGTTTAATAACCCCAAACATTCATTGTCCAAACTTTATCTTGTCAGGTCATGCATGTTCAACATGAAGACATGGCCTTTTTTCAAAAATAAACTCAAGCATTCAGTCTCGGCCATCTGCGTGCAGCCAAAATGACATTAGTTTCTGACCTGCTTGCCTACCACCACCACCAGCAGTTTGTAACTTCATTTTGAGTTGGACCACACCATCCCCCTGAATCCTCCCCTGCTGACATGACAAACAAGGCCAGAGTCTAATCCCAGAGCCGAGTTACAGGGTGAGAGGGGGGTCAGCGGCTGGCCGAGGACCCACACAGGAAAGACACGTCCAGATTGTCCCACAGAGGAAGTGAAGGTGCAGACGACTGGCCCTTTAGGCTTAGAAAAGCAAAGCAGCCTGGTGAAGATGTTAACGCTGGGTCTGTGTGGGCCCAAGGGGAGACGTGGGGTGGATTATGATTTAAGAGGCCATCGCTGGGGATCAGCAGTGTAAGGACAAATTAATATTTCCTAATATCAACAGGGTTTTAGATTTGTTAAAGGGGGAGACAACTGTGACACTGCATTTCAGTAGCCAATAAAACTTTACTTCTCTAAGGGGATTTGTTGTGTCTCATTCCTGCATGTTTCAGTGTTACATTTTTGTGTGTACTGCTTTTGTAATTTTGTGCAGAGCTCATTAAAGTTTTGCATTAACTGCTCACTGGCTTGTTCAACTCTTGAAGCAAATAACTCATTCATCCTTACAGCCTATCTGAGCATATGACCATCCCACGAGCCATAATCCCCTGTAATGCTAGAGAGTTATGATCAGCACTCTTACCATCAGGTTCAAGCTAGTGTGGGCCAAGAAGCTAACCCAGCCTTAAATCTCTGCAGAGGAACAGTTTGACATGTCAGCTGTTGTACAGGTACAGATAAATGTGTTGTGGCATATCACCTTAACCTCATTACAGTGTCATTGTGGCAGGCCAAAGAGAATCAAAGTCAGACGAAAAGCGTGTGGAGAGTGTTAAGAGCGTCTGATTTACAGCAGTGTAACAGGGATTAAAGTACAGGAAGCAGGAAAGAAGGGGGTGAAAGCTGGAAAATATGATTTGAAGCTATAAAAAATTCATCCAAAGAGAAAAAGATCTTCCACAGTCATTCTATTATTAACATGTCACAACCAATAGCAAGCCGTTCAAGCTTCAAAATCACTTCCTCTCAACAGGCAAACAAACTTGTCCATTGTCAAATCCTGTGTAGGGTGGACATCCTGCCTTGTCCCTGTCAAAAGACCCAATTCTGATTCATCTTGTAAGGGGGATGCATGGTTTGTTCCTTTATGCCTATGTCAGCAAGCAGGCAAACAGTGAGACAACATCCTATTCTAATTTCTGCTCCTGACATTGATAAGCTCAAATAAATGGCAGACACATTTTAGGAGGGTGCAACACCAAATGAACCACTGTCTCTGTCGGTAATGTTGTGCTGAACAGATAGAGTTGTAGTGCTGGACAGATAGAGACGTTAACACGTCTACAGAAAGTAAAACCAAGCAGTCATCACATGAGCACCAGCTGGCAAGGAGTTGGAGAAACTACTGCACCCAGGATGTCAGGTTGGCGTTGCGTGCCAAACTAAGCGCTTCAGGCTACATAAATGACATCTGTTTTGGCAGCTTGGTTGTCAGACACGGCGTAGCATTCAACAAGAGGTACATGCATAAAAAGAAGGAATATCAAGACATCAACGACTCTCAAAACTTAAGCTTCAGCTAAAAAAAATATGAACTTTACATAGTCATAAGTACTAAAACTCAGAGGGAAAATTATAAAGGAACCAAAGTAGCTTATCTCATACATCTCAGTAGCTTTAAATAGACTGTGAGGGCTAAAGCAAACCATCTGTCTCAAGAAACCGATGAAAGCTAAAACAAAGTTTTAATGCAGCCAAAGCAGATGCTGAAGAAATTCAACATGTGGGGATCAAACCAGTAGCTGAACCTACAGTGGGAGCCCCAGCTACCCTCCACCAATAAAAATGGGAGCAACAAATGTGCCTTCCGTTTAGTTTATTGGCTTCTTAACCACAGCAAAGACTGAGGGAAAAAAATCAAAAGATGGGGCTGTTGGTGAGAGATTAAAGTAGGCTCTATCTCCCCCACTCTTACAGCTAATTTAACTCTACTACAAATACTCACTGGTGGCAAAACAAAACTTCTCTCATAGTTTACCAAGCTACGTGCTAGCAAGCCAAAACAGCCCAATTCATTGTAACTGCCCATGTTGTAAATAAAATAGCGACACCACCACAAGCAAAGTACAATTTGAATTTCAGTTTAAAATGAAAACTTTCTACCAACTCTCTTTACATTGCTGAATTTTCTCAATAATATACTTCATTTGAACAAACTTTCGGGAACATTTAAGCTTTAAAACTACCTACAAACGCTGTAAAGTATTTGAACAATGTGAGTATCCATTGAGTGGCGTGGTCTTGTTCACTGTCTGTTGGCTGCCCTCTGAAAGCTGTCGGCGGCGGCGGGGTGATAGCGAGGCGAGCAGGCTTTAGCTCCGTAACTTTCTCCTGGTTAAGTTTGTACCAATGTGAGATTAAAGCGAGCGTTAACTTACCTTGTCCCGGCCATTTTCTTCACATTGTAAACGAGGCGTAACGTTAAACAAGAGGAAAGCGATGTTGAGCTGGTATCGGGATGAAGGTGAGTTTCAGAGCGCTCAGAGCGGTCCGACGAGTGAGTACGGGACGGTCCTCCGGTGGTGAATCCGATATGGAGTCTCCGCCTCCGCACGTGAGTCATAGGTTGGGATGGGGGTCACCCAGTCTGCACCCACACCCCTCCTCTTATCCACCACTACCCCCCACACCCTTTATTCCCTCGACTAGTTGGGGCTGGAAAGAGTAGAGGCCAAACAAAAAGCAAAACATCTTTAGTGGCTCAGTTGGCTGAACAGAGCAGAGTGATGAAATGTTATATGACCAGAGCTATCGCAGCTCGCGCTGACAGAACACCACCGGTCCTCAACCGTTCTTTAGTTGGACCAATTTATAACTTAAATGCTATCAAAGTTGTTCATCTTTTCCTGAAATAAAATAACTGACAACAACAAACAACAGTTTGATTTCCACCGCATTTATTCTGGTTGTTAAAAAAGACAGGAGCACCTTTGTTTTAACAAACAAGTCATTATTTTGTAAAATGTGCAATTCAAATAATGAAATTAGCTGTTGTTAACCTAGCGAAAAGCTAAAGCTACATCCCTCTGCTAAAGCCACATCTTTAAAGGTGTCCATCTTTTCTGTGAATTCATTTGTTTTCACAGTATCCCTTATGGTTGTTAAAGAGGGCAGACTCACTATTGTTTTATTAATTAAGTTGTTATTTTGTAAAACGTGCTATTCGAATAGGCTAATTAAGTTAGCTAATGTTAACCTTAGAGCAGCTTTTAGCCCTCTGCTAAAGCTACATATTGAAAAGGCATCTTTCTCTGAATTAAAATAACTGAATTACTTTCGACCATTTGTTTTCATAGTATTTATTATGGTTATGAAAAACAGTGCTGTTTTATTAATTGAGTCATTATTTTCTACAACGTACTATTTAAATAATCAAGTTAGCTAACATTAACCTAGCCAGGAGCAGGTTTTAGCCGTATGCTAAAGCCACCTTTTAGTAAATGTCCGTCTTTCTGTGAATTAAAATGACTGCATTATTTTTGACAGTTTGTTTTCACAGTATTTATTCTGGCTGTTAAAAAGGGAGACACATTATTATTTTAATAATTAAGTCCTTTTTTTGGGGGGTGGGGGGGCTATTCAAATAATAGTAACCTAGTGAAGTGCAGCATTTAGCCCATCTTTCTGTGAATTAAAATAACTTCATGATATTTGGCAACTTGTTTAAAAGCATTTATATAGTTGTTAAAGAGGGGGGCATGTTATTGTTTTATTAAATCATTATTTCTTGTTGCTACTCAAATAATTAAGTTAGCTAATGTTATCCTAGCAAAAAGTAGCATTTAGCCCTCTGCTAAAGCCACATCTGAAGTGTACATTCTGTGAATTAAAATAACTGCATTATTTTTGACAGTTTTTTCACAGTATTTATAATGGTTGTTCAAAAATGGGGATGCACTATTGTTTTATTAATTAGGTCCTTATTTTGGCAAAATGTGCTATTCAAATAATTAAATTAGCTGACGTTAACCTAGCGAAGAACGGCTTTTAGCCCTCTGCTAAAGCTACATCTTGAAAGTGTCCATCTCTGAATTGGAATAACTGCATTATTTTTGACAGTGTCTTCCACAGTATTTATTATGGTTATTAAAAAGCCAGACGCTATTATTTCTTTAATTAAGTCATTATTTTCTACAATGTACCATTCAAATAATTAAGTTAGCTAACATTAATGTAAGAGCAGCTTTTAGCCCTCTGCTAAAGCCACATCTAGAAAGTGTCAGTCTTTCTGTTTATTATGGATGTTACAAAAAGGCAGACACATTGTTTTATCAATTAATTCATTATTATGTAAAAGATGTGCTATTAAATAGTTAGGTGACCAAGCTGAGAGCAGATTTTAACCCTATGCAGAAGTCACATCTTGAGAAGTACCATAACACTGCAGTTGCTAAGCGACACACTGATATGAGATACTTTCTCAAATTTGAATATGCTTATTTTACAACATATTCTCCCCAGGCTCTTACCTATGGATTATTAACTTAAGCTACCAAAGTCAGATTTCTCTGTGAATTAAAATAACTGCATCACGCCATACTTTGACATTATTTTCATTACAGCCTTTAACTGTCTACCAAGTTTTCTTGTAGTTGGAGCAATTTACAACTTCTAGCATAGGTGTAGATTTCGGGGCGGGGAGCACGGGAACACGTACCCCCTGAAGATTTAGAACAAAATACCATACATAGATGCAGAAAAGGCACAAAGTGTTGAATAAAAATTTAATTCACCAGAATTCAGAAAATTAGGTATTTGATGCTTAAATTTTCCTAGCGGAGGACTCCCAAACTTCAGTTTCATTTTGTCCACCCAATATTGAAATGAAACCTATACCCTTGACTTCTAGGCTACCAAAGTTGTTTGTCTTTCTGTAAAATAAATGACATGGACATATTTTAGACAGTTTGTTTTCACAGTTTATTTATTATGGTTGATACAAAATGGCAGACACTGTTGTTTTTTAAATTAGGTCGTTAGTCATAAAAGATGTGGCATTCAAATAGCTAACCTAACTAAGAGCAGATTTTTATCCCTCTGCTAAAGGCACATCTTTTTGAAAAGTACAACACTGACAGTTTGAGAGATAATCTTAGATTAATGGATTCACATTTGAATATCATGTCAGAAATATGATATGCTAATTTTACTGCATATTCTCACTTGACTGAGCCAGTCAGAGAGCCGAGGACCTCACCTATCTCTCCCTCTTTTTTTATATCACAACTAGCAGCCTTTACACTACTGTAATTGTAGTCAGTAAGTACCTTGTTACATTGGTGTCAGCTGGAGGACAAGCAGACAGAGACACCTGCTGGACAGGAACATAAACTACCAAGCAGTTTCAGAATAAAAGTCAGCTCATGTTTATGGTCAAACAACACTTTATTCACAATTACTATCAGCGCTCAGGTCTATGGAAATATTTGCTAAAAAAAAAAAAAAAAAAAAAAAAGCTAACAAAGGCTTTTAGCTAAAATTCACATCAATAAGTATTACACTGTTGTGTTGTTCCTCTGGCACAGAGTAAACTATATATCCATTAAATGTACATGGCGTATCTCTTCACAGTGAACCCTTCAAGTGCTTTTCCGATGTAAATAAGTAAAGGACAAACATACAAGTTGCGGGCAATGAAATTTCTCAAGCTACATTTTTCCCTACAAGTTCATTTTGTCGACTCATATCATACAATGAGGTTTGCCTCTTCAGTATTATAAAAAATATTGTAAACATTTATATTAATTGCACAACATACATTCAAATACATACTGTACTGTACAGCAAGATTTTACTTCTGTATTGTTATCCTGTAGCACCATGTATAGCAAGCTGAACAAACTATTTGGATACTTCTACAGTGTGGTACTGACAATACAAAGGAGTAAAATGGCATTTACTAATGACGCATTCTGCCAGTGGTCAAATATTCTGGAGGTTTGGGTTGTATCATTGTGAGATAGTAGTTATTGTAGGCCTGTTTTCGAGGTGTGGCTGACACTGGATGGGGGTGGATCAAGGCAGGCAATCGCTAGTCACCTCACATCTCACAGCTTTGAGGAAGATGATGCTTCATAAAGGACATTCATCAGCGTTAGGATCAACTATAATACAAAAGATTATGGCGAAGTCGGTCATTTAAAAGGCCATACCACTTCCATGTGCAGACACGTTGGTGCAGAGAAAGAACATGTCTTGTTGTTACTCCGAGCGCTAATGATTTAGCTAATCAGCATGTGCCACAGAGACATCATGAGGCCATGACATCATTGAGTAGCAGCAGAGTTGACATGTAACTCGTCATGTTTCCACGCAGTCCCATATGACACGAAAGAAAGCTGATTAAAGCTGATATATATTATGTACAAGCAGTACTGTTAGACAGAATGGCTTGTGGACATCAAACTGTCCCACCTGATTCACAGCATCCTGTTAATGTTAATGGTCCTGACGGCTGGGTTTAACAGAAGATGTAAATGAGAATGAAATGTGTGCGAAGGTAGAATTGACAATTGGAGAGTCTTTAATCGTCTTTTATCTCTCAGTCTCAGCATCCCCCCTGCTTGGATGAGACTTCAAAAGAGCAGCTCTCTAAAAAAATGAAAACCCAGATAAAAGTAAAGTAGCATCTCAGGTTATGGTCCATCGCAGTGTGGTCAAGGTCCTAGGGTTTGCCTGCACTCCCCCTTCTTCCTTCTCTAGAGGAGGCCGATGTGATGGATTGTGGGATGCTGGTGGTTAACCAACCCACCCTTCCCAAATCTGCCCTCTGTGCAGGGGAAACAAAGAGTGTGAGTTAAATGTGCCACCTGATGCATTCACTGGAAACCATGACTCCAGTTGTGATCTGTTCCTACCAACACTGCGAGGAAAAGTAACAAATGACGATAACAGGACTGAGAACGCAACATAATGAGACAATGTCACATCTGCATTGCTTTGTTGAATTTGACTTGAGTGAGTGAATGACAAAGAAGATGGTGCAGCTTTGCAATGCAGGTAAGTGAGAGTTACTGTAAGTATAGGTGTACAGAATTACAGTACATAGGAGAGAGGAGCGCATGCTGCTGGGTCATCTGACCAAGCTGAAATAATTCTGGATGGAGACAGGAGTAGAGCTTGGCTGACTACAGAGGAACAGATGGGTTATGACAAACTCACAGCGATTTGGAGGAAGGCTTCTTCACTTTTGGCCTCTTTCGGCGATGAACTGGCCTGAAGCATGCACAGCACGTATACACGTGCAGGGCAAATGCACGTGCATGGAGACAAACACACAGGTATATACACACACACAGAGACACACACATACAGGTTCACACACATACATGCATGCGCACACACATACACACAAACAGACAGGCACGCACACATACACCCCCACACACACAGCAGAGACAAGCAATTAGGCTTCATTACAAAAAGGGAACAGCAGAAGCTGAAAAGCAGGCTTGCATTTTGGCCCTCTTTGGCTTCTGCTTCTGCATGCTAAAAAGGCTTTGATCACAACACTAAGGAACCATGGCA